TGTATTTTTCTGTAGAGATGAGATCTTGCTCTTGCTCAGGCTGATCTCCAACTCCTGAGCTCAAGCAAACCTCCTGCCTCAGCCTTCCAAAGTGCTAGGATTACAGAGCCCCTGTGTCCCCCTACGGTCATTTAGTCTGTCCCCCCAAAATTAAAGGTCCTGGGAATTTAATCATATTGATGAAGTCTTTTTTATGGTCAACTGAAGAACGATGGGTGGCCTTTACAGATTTTTTTTTTTAGAGACAGAGTCTCACTTTATCGCCGTTGGTAGAGTGCCATGGCGTCACACAATTCACAGCAACCTCCAACTCCTAGGCTCAGGCGATTCTCTTGCCTCAGCCTCCTGACTACAAATTTTTTTAAGATTAGAAAGCAAAAAGAAGTCAGAAGGAACCAAATCAGGCCTATCTGAGGGGTTTTTAAAAAGTTTGTACGTGCATGTCAGCCTGCAAAAACCTATGCATGGATTTCAAAAATTTTTGCACCAAAATAAACTTGTACTAGCCAGTTAAAACATGTCTGAACAAGATCTAGTTTAAGTCATTCAGAACGGTAAGACATCATCTTGAAAAGAAACTTTATCACAGCAACCTTAATTCTACTAAAATTAAAGCAAGAATAAACATCAAATTCATGGTGAAGAGTGGATGGAAGAATGGTGAAATCACTGATGTTTTCTGAAAAGTATATATCCTAAAGTAATCAGCAGTTTACAAATGGATACGTCATTTTAAGAAGGGATGAGGATGATATTGAAGATGAAGCCTACAGTGGCAGACCATCCACGTCAATTTGCAAGGAAAAAAATTCAGCTTTGTCATGCCCTAATTGAAGAGGCTGAATGATTAACAGCACCAACAATAGCCAACATCCCAGATATCTCGAGTGGTTCAGCTTATACAGTTCTGACTGAAAAATTAAAGTTGAGAAAACTTTCTACTCAGCTGCCAAGACAATTGCTTACAGATCAGCTGCAGACAGAATAGCAGAGCTTTCGATGGAAATTTTTAAAAAGTGAGATCAAGCTGGGCGTGGTGGCTCACGCCTATAATCCTAGCACTCTGGGGACTGAGGCAGGCAAATTGCTTGAGCTCAGGAGTTTAAGACCAGCCTGAGCAAGAGCAAGACCCCATCTCTACTAAAAATCGAAAAAACTAGTTGGGCACTGTGGTGGGTGCCTATGGTCCCCACTACTCAGGAGGCTGAGGCAAGAGAATCACTTGAGCCCAAGGGTTTGAGGTTGCTATGAGCTATGATGCCACAGCACTCTACCCAGGGTGATAGTGAGACTCTGTTTAAAAAAAAAAAAAAAAGGGGGGGGGGGTCAAGATCCTAAAGGATTTCTTGGAAGAACTGTAACAATAGATGAAACATAGCTTTGCCAATAAGATCCTGAAGATAAAACACAAAGTTATAGCTATCAAGAAGTTGAAGGGGTCAGGTAAACCAAAAGTGAACTCAAAGAATGAAGGTCCCAAGGCAAAAGTTTTCTGGAATGTTCAAATCATTTTGAGTGTTGACTTTCTAAAGGGCCAATAAATGATAACATTGGCGTATTATGAAAGTGTTTTGAGACAGTTAGCCAAACCTTTAGCAGAAAACACCCAGAAAACCTCACCAGAGTCCTCCACTAGGACAATGCTTCATACTCACTCCTTTCACCAAACAAGGGCAATTTTGTGACAGTTTCAATTGGAAATCATTAAGCATCCACCCACTGGACAGTCCTGATTTGGCTCCCTGTAACTTCTTCCACCTCTTACTCCCTAACTTATCATAACAAAATCTGTAGACAGCGCCTATTTTTCTTCAGTTAATACACACAAAAAAGACCACATTGATATGGTTAAATTCCTAGGATCCTCAGTTCTTTAGAGATGGATGAAATGGCTGGTATCATTGCTTATAAAAGCATATTGACCTTCCTGGAGCTTATGATAAGAAATCAGGCTTCTTTATTTTTGAGATGGACTCTCACTTTGTCACCCTCAGTAGAGTACTATGGCATCACAGCTCACAGCAACCTCAAACTCTTGGGCTCAAGCAAGTCTCTTGCCACAGCCTCCCAAGTGCCTGGGACTATAGGTGCCCACCACAATGCCCGCCTATTTTTTTTTTTTCTTTTGGAGACAGAATCTGGCTCTTGCTCAGGCTAATCTTGAACTCCTGAGCTCAGGATATCCACCTGCCTCAACCTCCCAGAGTGCTAGGATTACCCATGTGAGCCACCATACCTGGCCAAGAAATAAGGTCAATTGGCTGGGTGCAGTGGCTCATGCCTATAATCCTAGCACTCTGGGAGGCAGAAGTGGATGGATCGCTTGAGCTCACCAGTTCGAGACCAGCCTAAGCAAGAGTGGTCTACTAAATATGAAAAACTTGAGGCAAGAAGTTCATTTGAGGCAAGAAAAATGTGAGGCAAAAAATATGAGGCAAGAAGTTCATTTGAGCCCAAGAGTTTGAAGTTGCTGTGAGCTATAACGCCATGGTACTCTATCAAGGGCAACAAAGTTAGACTGTGTCTCAAAAAAAAAAAGAGGGCTGGCCATGGTGGTTCACACCTGTAATTCTAGGACTTGGGAGGCTGAGGTGGGTGGATTGCCTGAGCTCACAGGTTTGAGACCATCCTGAGCCACTGCAAGACCTCATCTCTAAAATTAACCAGGTGTTTGGTGGGCACCTGTAGTCTTAGCTACTCAGGTGGCTGAGGCAAGAGAATCGCTTGAGCCCAAGAGTTTGAGGTTACTGTGAGTTATGACACCACGGTACTCTACCAAGGGCAAAAAAGTTAGACTGTCTCAAAAAAAGAAAAAATAAAAGAAAGAGGTAAGGTTTATACTTTTTATTTT